ATCCAGGTAACCGTCACATGCCAAACCCCCACCGTTTATCCAGGTAACAGTCCCATACCGAACCCCCACCGTTTATCCAGGTAACAGTCACATCCCGAACCCCCCCCGTTTATCCAGGTAACAGTCACATACCGAATTGGAAGCTCACCCAAGCTGCTTAGTTGGCTCCATAACAGCTCAATACGTGTGATGTATTATCTGCCTTGTTTGCATGTCACTTTGGACATAAGCATCAGCTAAATGAATAAATGAATGTAAATATATTGTTAATATATATGTTTAGTGTATGTTATCAGACATACAGGATGTCCTGTTTTTTGGGTGTGACAGCGTAGCAATCCTAACAGCCAAGCCTACCCTAACAACCTTGGTTTTATCGAGGGGTCAGATTCGTAACGTCTCGTCCGTTTATTCAGCAGACGGGAACTCCTACAGATGCCCCAAGCCATGGCTAACATATCGGGACCAGTGCTTTGACCTACGGCGCTTGAAGAAGGTGTGGAAGGAGGCTTTGGCAGAGTGCCGCAGAGACGGAGGCGACCTCGCCAGCATCCACGACATTGCAGAGCAAGACTTCATCATTTCACAGCTCGGATACCGTGAGTAAACAAATGAATAAAAAATAAAGAGCTCTCTGTTAGCTGCGCACCTCGGTCACGCTACACAGACTGCTTACCGTCTGGAAAATGGTCTGCGTCTCATCGGCAAGATGGCGGCGGGTTACCAGTAAGTAGGTGCTGATTTTTGGCAGATTACGTCATATCAGTCATTGTAGTAGAATGTAAATGGAGACTTGGAGGAGTTATCTTGTCAATGGTTTTTATTACAGTTTTATTACAGAAATACAAATAAATCAAAGTTTCTGCCTCTATCATAAGTACCTAAGAGGTTTAATATTTCTTAACTCCAGGGGGACCCCTTTAGAAAACTCCTGTGCTACAATAATAAACAAGGCTTGAGTAGCATATTTTATGTACGATATTAATGCTGCGTTCTATTCACCTCGGAGGTTGGAAGTCGGGAGCTGAGAATGACATCACCGCATTCCAGTACATCAAGTTACAAAGCTATTTAGCAATACTAGTCCTAGCTGGGTTCATTGTTAACCATTGTTAGCAATACCAGTTAATAACAATGCAATACACGGTATTTGGCGCATACAAACAACATAGTAATAAGTCCACCGATAGAAGTTGCACAGTACCATTCAACAAGACACAAAAAAGTGCAAATAAACAGCATTTGACTACAGCTTTCACTTTTGTTGATGAAGGGCGCGGCCATCTTGAATTCTGCAGTTGGGGCTCTAGAGGATCCTTCGACTTTCTCAGTCACAATTTTGAGTTTTTCAGTTGAAATATCCGATTAGTAACTTCCCAGTTCAAATGGAACACACTATAGGAGTTCTTACTAGAATAGGTGTAAATAAGTAGACAAAACTTGAGATGTTCCCTTTGAACTCAGTTCCGACAGACAAACTGTGGATTGGCTTAAACGACCAGAAGATCCAACAGCTGTTCGAGTGGAGCGACGGCTCCGCGGTTACATTCACCAAGTGGGAGCTGGGTGAGCCGTCCCACTTCTCCGTCCTAAAGGAGGACTGTGTGCTGATGAGAGGGGAGGTAGGCTCACCTGTCCGGGCTCTTTTTCGCCCCCTAGTGGTGGTAAGGTACTTCTGAATATAAATGGGGAGCCACCATGCAGCACTGAGAGAGTCCCACTCTTCTGTTGATAGGAAGGGAAGTGGGCAGACGACAACTGCGAGAATGATTTTGGGTTCATCTGTAAGAAAAAGGCTGAAGTTGTCCCTGGGGGGTTGGTAACCACAGCTCCAGGCTGTACCGAGGTGAGAGAACGGGTGCACACTTCTGTAACGTGAAGCATTTCAGACAGGTAACAGATTTAAACAGGTATCAAATGGAAACGCTTTACCTTAACTGCACCTCCATAATGCATTCATTATGCATTCATAGAACATTCACTACACCTTCATAATGCCTTTATAATGCAATCATAGAATATCCATAAGCAGCATGTAACTATACCTTAACATCCTAGCATATTTTAACAGCTTTAGTATACTTCAGTAACACGCAATATATGATAATGTTTGTTGTTATTATATAATGTTTATTATTAATGTATATTAAAGCTGTTAATGTATAGTTACATGCTGCTTATGTATGTTCTATGATAGCATTATAAAGACATTATGAAGGTGCAGTGAATGTTCTATGAGTCCATTATAAAGCCTTCACAATGCCTTTATAATGCACTCATACAAATATTCACTTCACCATCATAATTTTGCTCATTAGTTTACTTATGGCTGTAGTTAAAGCATTACCCAATAAAATATTAGCATAAAAGTAATCCCAAATCCTAAACCAAAGCTTTACATAAATTTTACATTCTCTGAACACGACGAGTTCAAAACTACTATATGTTTGTTTGTTTTCTTCCGGGTACAATGATCACACATCTTTTTCATTGAACCTCCTGCTGTGTCATATCAAGGGCTGGACCAGACATGGGTCATTCTGCTACCAGATAGGTTCAGAAGAAAAAACCTTTGAAGATGCGAACCAGGATTGTTTGAGGAAGGATTCTCATTTGATTAATGTTGCGAACAGGTTTGGTCGCCGTCCCAAAATTCAATTAACTTGTTCTCATGTGTTTTTTGGCACGTTCCACATGTCGAGCCCTTCCCTCTCAGGTTCGAGAATGCTTTCCTCACTAGCTTGGTGGGAATGAGACCTGAGAGGTATTTCTGGATTGGACTGTCTAACAAGGAGCAGAAAGAAACTTTTGTATGGACCAACTCCGCAAACGTCAGGTTCACGCACTTTGGGCCAGGAATGCCAGGTACCATTCATGAACGCTCATAGATCATACGCCCTTGTGTTCCTGGCCTATAACTGGGGTCTTGTGTCTCGGTGTTGCTATGATACAATCGTGCTAATTTCAGACTTTCGGAATTGTTAAAGCATGTTCTTTATTGTATTAATAGACATTATGAGCCACTAGTGATCTCTGTTTGACTGACTTATTTTTTTAATTCTTTGAATAAAGGTCAGCAGCAGGGTTGTGTTGCCATGACGACCGGTACCGCCGCTGGCCTATGGGATGTGTTGAGTTGTACCAGGGGGGAAAAATATATCTGTAAGACTTTGGCTCAAGGGGTGGAGCCAACGACTGCCCCGCTCACCACAGTGCCGGCCAGATGCGCTGATGGCTGGACACCTTTGGGGGCGAGGGATTTCTGTTATAAGGTATTGAACTCATTTACCTTAGTGGGGGGAGGTTTGTCTGCAGATAGTAGCGTTTGTGTGGCTTCCTTAACCACTTTTAAGTGCTACATGTTTAGATGAAGCACTAATCAGTATCGATTATGTTTTTTTTCCCAAGTTGAAAGTATTTCAGCTGTTTCAGGGTGAGTGACAAACATGGGTGCTTTGTGTTTTTAAGGTTTACGAAAGATTATGGGATGGTAAGAAGACGTGGTTTGAGGCTCAGGAATACTGCAGAGCCATCGGGGGTGACCTTGTCAGCATTCATAGTGAACTGGATCTTTCACAACAGAGGTAATTTTTTGCTCCATTGATCTAATGTAGGTTCTAGTCCTTGTGGGACTGTGTTCCACTGTCGAGATGATGTGAAGTAAGGTTGTAATAATTTTGCATATTTCATTCATTTTTATTTCATTTTCACCTTTTGTTTTCAATTTCAGTTTAGTTTTTATTACTTTTTAAAGTGGGTTTGCTAGTTTAGTTCAGTTTATTTTTTTTTTTAAATGCTTAGTTGTAGTTTAGTTTTTATTAGTTTCAGTGTTAGCTTTAGTTTTTTTAACATAAGGTATGTGTCACGATCCGCTCCGTTCGATCCTGATGTGTGCCACGCCCCCTCATTACCTTGTGTGATTACCGATTGTTATCACCTGTTACCCGTTCTTTCCTGCTTGTCTTGTGTATTTAGTCCACGTCTGAGTTAGTTTCCCCAGGTCTGTCATTGACGTCGTTTGCTGTGAAGCTCCCCTGTCTGCTTTGGTTCCTTTAATAAATCCTTTTTGACCGTGTTCACGGCTCACTTGCCTGCTTCCCGGATCGCCCGGACACGCAACCTGACAGTATGTGTCAGAGGTGCAATTCACATAGGTCAGAAAAAGTATTGTCGTTTGTGCATGTAAAACTGGCGCAGCTAAACAATGAAAGAAATCACCCACCTGTAGCTTTGTATGAAAAAATGAAATGAAAATGAACACTGAAGACATTTTCTCTGCAATTTTAGTTTATTTTAGTTTGTTTTGTAAACATACAATATAGTTTCAGTTTGTCAGAATTTTTTCGTGAAGCTTTATTTTTATGTTTATTTTGGTTAGCGAAAATGTTTTTTTCACATTCAGCTTTCGTTATTTCGTTAGTTTTCATGAACGATAATAACACTGATGTGAAGTTCATCTAGCATATTCTGTCTTGGATGCACAGTCATTCAGACTATGATGACACGGATGATTATTTCCGCCTTTCAAGACCCTGGTCATGGCGCCACACAGCTTGGATCGGTTTCAGCGCTCTTGATCCTACTTCCGGATTTGTGTGGAGCGACGGATCCGCAGTGAGTTTTCATCTGTTTCAAGTGCTGAAACAGGATGACATGGTGGCTTGCACTGTTGCCGGAAAGTCCCAAGGCTGACAGCCTCCTATTGCCATATCAGATATCTGTTCCTTGGCAAATTTCAGTGCTGGTGTTATGCCGAAAAAGGCATCCCTGCCGTAGAATGCATGCCTGTCTCTAAATGACCGATTGGTTGCTGATCTGAAACGAGTTGAGCTACTTTGTCGAATTAGGCTACCGTAGTGCTAATCGATAGCCCTTACCCTAACCCTAATCCCCCAAAAAAACCTAAAACCCTAACCCCCAAAAAAACCCCTAAAAGCTCAACTCGTCAGAACACCGGCATGCATTCTACGGCGGGGATGTCTTTTTTGGCATAACACCGGGTCAGATCAGTGTGTGTGGTAGTGCATGGATAAAGGATTAGCAAAAGATGGTTTTGGTTCTAGTATGTCCCTGTCAACAATACACTGTTTTGACACAACACTAATTTGGTCTTGATTCTTCTTCAAGTCCGCCTTTGAAAACTGGGACACCGAAGAGCCCAACAACTACAACGGAGTAGAGCTTTGTGGGGAAATCTATTCGTACAATTTAAAGTGGAACGACCGCCACTGTGAGAGCCTCAGCAGTTGGATCTGCCAGATTCACAAAGGTACGTCCCCCACCCTCCCACGCTTGCTTACCTCCCACTGCAAATCGTGGCGAGAATAGAACGCATGAAACTGGACTATTCTACTAAAAGAGCAGGTGGCCTGGAGCTTCAGCTACAGTGCATAAACTGAAGCACATGAACTTGAATTCTTCCAGTAAAGTATCCCACATTAAAAACTGATTTGGATGTGTAACTTTGATGTCAGTAATGCAGTTAACACCTCTGGTGGCTCTGGAGGTATTCTCCACTACTGCTACAGAGCAGTGTTTCCCAATCCGGTCCTCAGAGACCCACAGTCAGTCCATGTTTTTCCTCCCTCTGAGCTCCCTACAAGACAGTCCACATTTTTGCTGGGAGCAGGGAGGGAGCAAAAACGCATTGAGAGCATTGATGTTGGAATGTAAACCTTGATATATAACTTTTCATCTTGTTTGATGGCAGTTATTTAAGCTAATTTAACTGTCTTCCACTCCAACTTTTAGGTGTGACCCCAAATCCTGCGCCAACTGACAGCCCACCAGGTAAGTCATGCCCGACGGTGACCGCTGTCAATGACTCTGGGTGGGCATTGATGAAGCCCTGACCCCTGACCTTTGCCGTTTTGCCCTGACATGGTATAGCAGCATACAACAAGACAGAGGACGGCTGGATCATTTATAATGGCTCAGAGTACTACATTAACCACAACCTTCATTCGATGGAAGAAGCCAGAGAATACTGCCGGAAGCGGAGTGGTGATCTCGTCGTCATAAATGGCGAAAGTGAGAGGGTCTTCCTCTGGAAAACGGTAAGTAGGAAGTAATGTAGGTAGGAAGTAATGTTGTTTTAGGTAAATCATACTCTCATTTTTCTTTCCAGTCATTTTATCAGGGGGTACCCCGAACCAGTTCTAGATATTCCTATTCCCTGCCCTGTTATACAGATACACACACACATGCATAATGCTGAAGGATAAAATATATTGAGTATGGAAAGCTGAAGTAAAGTCATAAAATCATAAGCCCATTGTGGTAACATCTGATCTGCCGTGATTTTCACTTAGTAACCACTTAGCTTAACAACCTGCCAATTGAACCAGAACTTGGTCGCTAAATGAGGAGTGGTTGTACTAATTTTTATGAGTTATTTCTGTTTAAGATGAATATGGTGTATCAGATGTGCCAAGAGCCTGGGGCTGAAACCCTGAATGAATCTGAATGAGCCCCTAATGATTTATTTTGCTTAAATGTTCTACCAACTATGCTTTAAAGTTGAGAGTTCCATACATCACAACTGTCCTAGTCCAGCGCTGCATTTCCCCAAACATTCATAGTACTACAATCATCGTAGCTCAATGGCTCTGAGGTGTATAAATATTCTGTGTGGAGAGGTACAATTTAGCTTGTGGTTGTCCAGGGTTGGAACTGGAGTTGGGTGCTGTTTTAATTTTATCGATTCCGATTCCGGTTCTACTTATCAGTTTGGTTTTTATCAATTCCCCATTTTGATTTCATGAAGGTAAAAAAGGACAAATGTTTAGATATATAAAAAAATATCTTTATTCTAAACATTCAGAATGTCCCAGCAGCAGTGGGAGATAAATGCTATTCAGTGCAGTGCACAGTGCAGTGCACAACACCTGCCTGCAACCAAACCAAACCAACTGTATTTGCAGACGGTAGATGGGAAATTTCAAGTAAAACAAATACCTGACAAATGAGCGAAGTGACAGAAGTAAAGAAAGTAGCATCACAAAGTAGTTTATTTCGCCTGAGCTGAGGTGATTTTACAAGCCGATAATCAAACCGACAGTCAATTACAAATTGACAATTGATTTAGGACAAGTACAGTAATGTCAGCAGTACCTATGTTACTTCCTACCTGCATTACTTCCTATCTTATTAAATAATAGATGTGTGTCAATTGTATGTCAATTGTTGTCATTTTCTCTATTAAAGAACATAAGAACATAAGAACTATACAAACGAGAGGAGGCCATTCGGCCCATCGAGCTCACTTGGGGAGAACTTAACTAATAGCTCAGAGTTGTTAAAATCTTATCTAGCTCTGATTTAAAGGAACCCAAGGATTCAGCTTGCACTACGTTATCAGGAAGACTATTCCATACTCTGACTACACGCTGTGTAAAGAAGTGCTTCCTTAAATCCAGTTTGAAATGTTCTCCCGCTAATTTCCACCTATGGCCACGAGTTCTTGTATTTGAACTAATGCTGAAGTAACTATTCGGTTGAACAGCATCCAAACCTGCTAGAATCTTATAGACCTGGATCATGTCCCCCCTAAGTCTCCTTTGCTTGAGACTGAACAGATTTAGCTCAACTAACCTTTCCTCGTATGACATTCCTCTAAGACCAGGAATCATTCTTGTGGCCCTACGCTGCACCTTTTCTAAGGCCGCTATGTTCTTTTTAAGATATGGTGACCAAACCTGCACACAATATTGTATAGGAATTGTATAATCTTAGCATTACCCCCCTTGACTTAAACTCCACACACCTGGAGATATACCCCAACATCCTATTGGCCTTTTTTATTGCTTCCCCGCACTGGCGAGAATGAGACATGGAAGCGTCAACATACACACCAAGGTCTTTCTCATAATCAGCTACCTTTATTTCAGTAGGTCCCATAAAATACCTGTACTTTATATTTCTGCCCCATACATGGAGTACCTTACATTTGTCTATGTTAAATTTCATCTGCCAGGTGTCGGCCCAGTCACTAATTAAATCAAGATCCCGCTGTAGCTGCTGAGCCGCTAGTTCAGTATCTGCTAAAGTGAAACTACAGTTTTAACTGTTCACTGTCTACCTTTCACACTGTTATCATGCATGCTAGCCTGTGTATCAGCAAGTGGCTGTTGCACGTTTATGCATGACATATTCACAAGTGGCTGTTGCACGTTTATGCATGACATATTCACAAGTGGCTGTTGCACGTTTATGCATGACATATTCACCTAAAACAGGCCCTGGCAGATATCTAATCGGAACATGTCAAAATTTATTTTGGAGTGAACTTTCATTCTGTGTTTCAGATCGTCCAGACAGAAAGAGCTTTTTGGAGATCCAGTGAATATTACATTGGCCTGACCATTGACCTTGACCAGTCCATTCAGTAAGCATAGTCATAACTTTTCTATGGTTTTCATTTAGAGCCATTTGCTTGACACTGACATTTTTGCAGGTGGATGGATGGATCACCCACGGTGTTCTTGGCCTGGGACAAAAACGAGCCTGGGTTTGCCAATTACGATGAAAACTGTGTGGTCATGACTTCTGGGATGGGTAAATGGAAAGCTTTGTCGGTTCACGATGCCATGACCGTCTTTCCAGTGTTCTCACTGAAACTGTATGTGGCTGGCCATCTAGGTGAGGTGTGTGTGCGTCCACAGGGTTCTGGATGAACACTAACTGTGGCAGGCCCACGCCTTCTGTGTGTAAGCGAGCCAGTGGGTCCCCCCCCAACGCCACTCTGGCCCCCCCCATGAGCAAGGGAGGCTGCATGCCTGGATGGACCCACTTCGATGGAAAAGTGAGGGGCCTTCAGTACAATGGGCTTTACTTTTGTACCCTTGACAGATTCTGTAGTATCCTCTCCGTAGGCCCACTATGCTCCTCTCTCGTTTTCTGACCAAGTTGATGTCCACACAGTGCTACAGGTTCTTCGGGAAGAACTCAGATGAGCAGAAGTCGTGGCAAGACGCCCGGAACCACTGCATCGTAAAGGAATCCAGGTTGGCTTCCATCCTTAGTGAAGAAGAACAAGGTATGAATCTCGCTTCCACACCGACCGGGGGGGCACGTCACCGTGGGAATACCCTGGGAGGCACAGTGGCTCAATGGCCTCAAGGCATGTCCCCTGTGGATTTTATGGTCCCCTATGTTGCACACTTGTCCTCCTGTATTCCAAACCCATGCTGCAACCTGAATTACCCTGCTGCACATCTTACCCAATACCCGTTCCTGAGGTTACTCACATCTCCCGCCAGACTGGCACAGCGCACTTTAACTTATTATTATTAATCTACCGTTAGTTTTTGCCAGCATATCTATTTCACCCAGTTTTAACACAAGTATCCCATGCATAGGTCACGTTCTGTATGCTTCAGGCAAAACTCTATATGTTTTCGTGCAGCGACTGGGGGCACAATGCTTGTATTAAACTGCAGCCATTGGCTGTTAGATAATTACACAAGTCCATATTGTGATTTCGATTTTTATGCAATTAATTGTGCAGCGATAGTATGTTGTTGGCAACTGCCTTGAGCGCCTGGTCATGGCAGCAGCATAGTGGCCTACGCCAAGGACCTTCAGGAAGCTGCAGAGGAGATGTTCCAGTGGCCATCTCCCAAACCAACTAGGGCAGGCAGATGTCGCTCTTTCTTCAGATGTGAAGGTTCCCAGGGCTTGGGCTGCCTTCATAGATAGGGATCTGCCTGCCAGATGTTATTCCAGGTCATCCTGCTTTGGATTGTGCTTTCATCTGTGCTTGCTGCTGCCTGACTCTCACCACCCCTTATTCTTCCTCCACACCAACTTGAACATCCTCCTGAAGGAGATTATGTCTTTCTTTGCCTTGGGCTTTGTCTGCCAGGGTCTTTACAAGGAGGCCTAGGCAGGCTCGTCCTCAGGTGTGACTCTGCCATCTCCACCACTTTGTCAGCTTTCCATCTCCATGTTCTTACCTCTATTCCAGTTGCTTACATTTTTGGGTCCCAGGAATCGACAGCTTTTCTCGCTCATGCTACCACGAACTCTTCAGTGAGGCCACTGAACGGGAGCTGCAAGATGTTACTATTTCTGTACAGTGCTGCACTGCTTAGGCTGCGAGTTAGACCAAGCCTCCTGCAGATAGTGTACCTCATCGTCCTTTCCTGGGACTCAACTGTACTAATGGGGACTGAATATATCATCTAAGGCCACAGTATTCAAGGCAGGGTGGCAGGCCTTGAATCTACCAGGCAGACTTGAGTTGTCCACCTTTGCGAACCATGCCGCAACTTAGCTAACAATTATCCATTGTAGGAGCATTACAATTAAAGTATGGAAATGTTTGAAGTGTCTAGTTTTCCTGATGTTACCCATAATGTTATCCCACTGCCATAACTACTGCTACAACTAAGAATAATAATGTTCATCCAGGCGAAGGGCTTGGTAGAGCAGCAGGTAGCATTGTTGCTTTGCACCTCTTCAGTCTTGGGTTCAAGGGTGGATGGTGCATCCATCATGTACATATAGAGCGCTTTTATAAAATAATGTTTTTTTTGTAAAACAGTATTTTTTAACATCAATTATGCTGGAAGAATGTTCAGGTAATAATGTTATTGTAAAATGTAAAACATGTAAATAATGTTCCAGTTATTGATGTTGTAGTAAGAGTACAGTATGTTCTCTGCCGACTTTGAGAAGACAATCGCATAACATTGGCAAACGATATGGGAATACTGGCAAAAATTATGGGAATGAACTCAAACTGCATTTGATAATCTTCCCCAGACTCCTAACTGGTTTGTCTGTGATGGACAGGATGGTGATTTCAGCTAGGGAGAAGTGGAATTTGTCCACCACTTTCCCCTTATTTAGTAGCATGGACCTTGATTTGGCAGGTTTGAAACTCATCCTTGCCCAGGTGACGAGATTCTGCTGCCTGGAGGAGGTGTAGTGCTGGTGATCAATGTCATCCATGAATGTTCTGATTGGGGGATATCGTGTGGCAGACCTAGTCAGGGGGCCTCTGCACTGTGTCCGTAAGGGCGAAAAGGATAAGTTGACGTAGTGCAGATGGTTCTCAAGCCAATCAGATGTTGCTGACTTGTCGTAGAGCAGTAGTTCTCAAACTATGGTATGTGTACCACTCGTGGCACAAGAAGGTATCAGTGTTTGTAACTGTTGGTCATATTGGAGGTATGTGGTTGGGGCGGATAGACCCAAGAGCAGTGCAGCTGCATGAGTCTGTTGCTGAATCCCCTCAGTTATCAGCAGTGAGTGACTCTCACTCACTGCTGATAAACTTTATTGTCGCAATACTCAACCTGTGCTCTGGTCAACAGCATTTCTGGTCAGCGAGTTGATCGACACGCCCGTGGACATGTGGATCGGCCTGAACTCGCAGAACAGAGACTCTCGTTTCCTGTGGAGCGATGGGAAACGTGTCCAGTACCTGAACTGGGCCCAGGGACATCCCTATAATGTACGTCTTCACAAAGCACACTTCCTTACAGTTAATATACTGATTAGTAGACACTATCATTCTATTGCTACTATGACATCATTATAACTGGAGAAATATTTAGAAGTTTTCGTACTAACTGTAATTCTCTATCGGGGTCTTCTCAGCTTCCATGGATGTTCCACCATGGAGAAGTTATAGAGGTATTGTACCATTTTATTGCTCTTTTCAGACATGTGAATGAACGAAAGAACACTCATACTTTCTGCTTGCAGCTTAGCCACGTTTAATATGCTTTGTCAGACCTTTGTCCCAGCCTGTGAACACAGGTAAATAGCATGATTGGCCAGCTTGATGGCTTAATTCCGCACGCTGTAACCTTTCATCTCCAAGGTGTGGGATTTGGTTCCGACCTCCAGCTGTGCTTTTGTAAAGTTTGCATGTTCTCCCCAAGTGGGGGAAGAAAGGAATGGATCAAATCAAGAATGAATATGTGTATCTTGGTATCTTAATAGCCAGGGATTGACATAACTGGTAGAAAAGTACGCATTCACCTTTAAAAGCGATACGTACAGCAAACGGTTAATGTAACAGCATAAATACGTACATATTTTATGTGCATTTGTGCTGATATGATAAGAAATTATCTTGCATTTTAACCTCTATACCGGAAATGAAGTACGAATTAGCATATAAAGGTTATTCGTTATTTGTTTTTATTGTCTGTCTTTTATGGACTATGTAAGGTGACTTTCGGTTTTAGAAAGGCGCCCACAAATAAAATGCATTATTATTATTATTATTATTATTATTATTAAAATGCAAGATAATTTCTTGTCATATCAGCACAAATGCACATAAAATACGTATGTATTTGTGCTGTTACATTAATCGATTGCCGCATGTATCGCTTTTAAGGGTGAATGCGTACTTGCCTACCAGTTATGTCAGTCCCTGTTAATAGCATGTGTCATTGAAGAACATGTAATCAAATGGGAACATTTGATCAACGTTGTCACAGAATGAAGACTCCAAATGCACACTATTGTCCAGACATCTGGAAAACACGGTGGGGAAATGGAAAACAGCTTCGTGTTTGCAGATCCACGGCTTCATCTGCAAGAAGGACTCTGGTATGCTCTCTCTGGGACAGACGAGAAAACATGGAGGGATTAGGCTTCACTTTCTCTGGACTGGCTGTCTGGTCTTCAGATTTGACTCTCTGGTGCATCTTTCACTGACACACTTTCACATCTGCCATTAAACTCCCTCTTTCACTCTGCCAAGTGCTAAGTACCATAAAAGCAGCATCAGAACCACTGTGGCTAGCTAGCTAAGATGGGTTAAGACAACCCTCCACGATCATGTAATTCAATTCAATTTTCAATTCAATTTTATTTATATAGCGCATTATCACAACATTATATTGTCTCAATGCGCTTTACATTTCTGCCTCGTAAGGACCCCCCATTGAGTAAGCCAAAGGCAACGGTGGCAAGGAAAAACTCCCTAAGAGGAAGAAACCTTGGGAGCTGGGAGGGAAAAAAAACACGGACTGTCTGGCAGGGAGCTGGGAGGGAACAAAAACACGGACTGTCTGGCAGGGAGCTGGGAGGGAACAAAAACACGGACTGTCTGGCAGGGAGCTGGGAGGGAACAAAAACA